AACAATAAAACAATAAAACAAACAAAAAAGAATATTTTTATTCGTTCAAGAAAAAAAAAGTAACCCAGTTCAGACATATTCTGTGTTAAAATACCAATTTATTTTTAAAAATTTTATCTTTCTTTAAGCTCAATAGCCGAAAACTGCAAAGAATTGTAAAGAATGAAAAAAAGAAAAATAATCAATTTATAATTTTCTTAGTCAAAGTATATTATTTTTCTTTTGAAAATCAATATATATCTTTGCAGATATATATTCATCATTTCTCTCCAACTAAGAACTTGCTATAAACATATAACAAAATAATGAAAATCATGATTTTCAAAATGTCCCTAATTTGCAAATTAATATTTTTCGAAATAACCAATAAATCAATGAGTCGTGGTCATGGTCGTGATCAGAATTTTTAAAATATTTATAATTTACAAATTAATATTGTTTTTGGGATAACCAAAAATAATAATTAGGTATTAATTAAAGATATCATACAAGCACAAAATGAATGATTGTTGAATAATTGTAATTTTTAAATTTATTTGAAAATTAATATTTTTTAAATTATTCAATCAATAAACATCATATGAACAATTATAGTTGGGCCAATAAATATCAATTACAGCACAAACTTGAATAGATTTTCGAAATGTCTCTAATTTGCAAATTAATAATTATTTGGAATGAAATTAAGAATATATTAGAGCATGATATTATGAAATTAAGAATATATTAGAGCAAGATGGGGAAGGTAATCGCAATCTTCAAAATATCCCTTTTGCAAATTCATTTTTTTTTTTAAATAATCAATCAATTATAGGCAAAATATTAGATGATGAAATTATTCTTAATTTGCGAATTAATAATTCTTTGGAATAGTCATTTAAGGATATAAATATAAGATTAGATGATCCTAATCTTCAAAATGTTTTTAATTTGTGAATTAACTATTAATTAATTATTTTTAGCATAACTAATCAATAGATTTGAATCAAAATAAAACAAATAAACTTCGCATACAAAATAATTTAAAAAATGTATTCTTTTTATGAACTTTTTAAAAGAATTGGATAATAACTTATACTCGAATATGCTTTCTATTTAAAAAATTAAAGATAGACGCAATTCAATAATTTAGAAACTTTTTTCTAAAGCAGATAAAAGGAATATTAGAGCTTAGACTTGATTAAAGGATTGGGCGTTCTTATAAATCTTAATTAATGATTTAAAATGACTAATCGTGGTGATACAGGAATTCAATAATTATACGAAACAATTATTTGGTGGAAAAAGAGAACAGAATTCGCAAAATAGAATTGTAAATTAAAAAAGAAACAATTAGAATAAGTCTTAGGATTTAGATAAAAAGATTATCTAGAAAACAATAATTCATTAACTCGATTCAAGATGTAAATTTAAAAATCGATTAAGTTGATAGAAAAAAAAATTAGTTGATAGCGAAAAAAAGATCATAAAAGATTATAGTATAGTATTCATAGAGAAATTGAAAGAAAGCTAAAAAATAACGATGAAAAATAAACTGAAACAATTAATACATATAAAATAAATATATATATACATATAAAACAAAAGAATCCTATAATGAATAACAACATAATAATATAAATAATGCGAAGAAAAAACAAACATACAGATGTAAGATTCAATAATTATGAGACTACTAAAAATCAAAAATACCTCCATTTTAGTACTTGAGGCCTATTTTGTATTGCTGATTCTTGTTTAAAAATAAACAGAAGCAAATAAACAAATCAGAAAAATCTTTAAATATTTTGGCTATTTTACTGAAAAATATCAATTGTAAGTTTCTTTCAAATTGAGATAAAAAATAAAATATAGGAATCAAAAAGTAAATTGAAAATCAAGTCTTTATGTCAATCCTGAAACTATAATTAAATATTTTAGAGCCATCGAATTCACATATGAAAATATGTATCAAAAAATGAAATAGTAGCATACTAAGAAAGAATATCTACATTAAAAAGACAGGAATAAAGACACATGATGAGATATGTCGTTTTAATGTTTAGACAGTTTATTCATTATTAGTTTACATAATTAATAATGATTTCGTTGTGAGATATTGAGAATATGCTCTTATGCGATATTTAGAATAAATCAACAGTGAACTAAATAATTATAAAAATTCAAATAATCTTAAAAAATACATTACAAAACTTATAAGATTGAAAGTCGATGTCGCAAATTTTGATAGTAGTTGAGACGATAGTAGAACAATTGTTTTTTCAAAACATTAAAATCTTTTGATTTTGAGGTGAAAAATAAACATATAAGCATTCATTTATAAGTTTTGTTTATTTGCATTTGTCTCTTAAAATAGCCAACGAATTTATTGATTACGATCACACATTATGATTTTAACTTATTTATTTTACATGATAAAATAAAATATTAAAAATACTATTTATAATATTTTAAATATAAACCAAATATAATTAATAAATTAATTGGATTAATAAATAATTTAATTAACTGGATTAATAAATAATTTAATCTGATTTTTCGATTCTCTATTGCTCTGGATACATTGAAATTTTTTATTGCATGTTTATTATTATTTTGCATGATAAAAGGAAAAAAGAATGCAAGAAAAGAACATTATGTATTATATTTTAAACATCAACTAAGCCTAATCAACGAAAATATAACTGCCATTAAAAAATAATTTATTTCGAGTCTTTATTGCTCTTGGTACATATATAGAATTTACAAGATGTGGGATAGATTTTATATACATCATAGAAATTATTTTATATTCTATGGTAAAATCAAAAAAACATTATTTATTATATTTTAAATATGAATGAAATTATTTAATTAATTAATAATTTTTAAAAATTATATAATATAATTGCCAATAAATAACTTAATCCTGTTTAGATTCTTATTACTTTAACTCTAATTCTGAAGAATAATTTTATGAATAAATAGGATATACATACGATTATACATACATAAAATCTAGGCCGACATTTTTGTGAAGTATTTCCTGGATGACACATGCTTTGACATATAACTAATTCCTTTCGAGTTCTCATTCTAATTTTTTCAAATTCGTTAGCAAATTTGATGGCTAAATTGAGAAGATTCTCGTAAAAAATCCTTTTAAAAGTATTTGTTGCTTGGAAGTTTATTATCTTATTCTTTTGGATGATATGTAAAATTTAGCCGAATGTCTCATCACGAATTAATAATGCATTGAATCATGATATTTTACATTCAAGAAGATCATATACATTGTTGGCGAATAAATACACATAAGTGATAAGTAATTAACAAAGATTAAGCAAATGAAATCAAAATTGGATATTGGAAAATCTCGAATAAAATTTTACTTTCTTTGCTTTAAAAATAATTACAAATAATATTAACATATCGAGTTTCTCAAAGTTTAAAAATTTTATATTTTAATCTCAATATTTCTTCTTCATTCTAATTCCAATGAATTAGAAAATCATAGAGAAAAGCAAAAAATCGTGTCTTAAGTTTAATTTAAATATCTAATAGTTTATGGAACAGAGACTATTTTTTTCACATTGATATTTTGTATTAAAATACAAAAATGTAAAATATAAAAAATGAAAAAATTGATACTCTGATACTGATAATAGGCATATTTTGTATGTTTATATTATATATATTCTTTTAACGGATATAAAAATTACTATCTTATAAATTTAAAATATGCCACATATATGAAAAAATGAAAACTCGTTTTTAGTATAATTCTTTGAATTTATTATTATTACATTAAAATTGTTTATTATAAAGATATTAAATCTATTTATATTACTGGTAGGTAACATAATGGCACAAGTCTAAAAAAATCAATTTAATGCAAAAATTTCAAAAAAATTTTAAACATAAAAGATAATGGTTACCGCTGTCTTGCAAGAAATCCAAAATGATTTCAATAAAAAATTAATTATATAACATATATAGCATAATATCTATAAATGAAACAATGTCTAATTTAATAAGAATCAATAATATTTTTACTTTATTTTTCATCAATTTTGTAGCATTCAATCACAAAGAAAAATTTTTCATATCGTTTGATATTATATAAAATACGAAGAAAAACCAATATTTTAATAAATGTCTTTCGTGTATTAATGTAACAACGAAGATGGAACAAGTAATGTCAATGTATCATGAATGATAAGATATCTCTAAGATAAATCTCTTGATTTATGTTCAACGAAGAAAATTATATTACGTCGAATGTTCGTAAATGATAAAAGTGTTGATTTTACAATGAAAAGATTGATCATAGACTATCCTATATTGATGGGACAGTTTCTGCTGCTTTTAAATATCACAAGTTTTTAATTTATATTCAAAGAAAAAATTTATTGCGTCGAATGTTCAAAAAAGAAATTTATATTGCGTTGCAATGAATTTTCATAAATAATAAAATTTAATTTTATTATGAGGAAAGGATCGATCACAAAACCTATGTTGATAGTACAGTTTTTTGTTCTTATTTATGAATATCATAAGTATATATTTTTATATATGTTTAAAAAAATTTATTACTCATTATACTAATTATACTTATCATTCAAAGAAAAAACTATTGCATCGAATCTTCAAAAAAGAAACTTTATATTGTAAAAGAAACTTATATCAGATATTTATAAATAATAGAAATCGATTTTATTTACATAAACTGCCGAATAAGGCGAATGAACAGATAATATATTTTTTCAAAAATCATTTTATAATATTGAATAGATTATATGCTTGCTATGTAAAAAATAATGTAGAAAATAAGTTTTTTTTTTTAAATAAAAAATTTTACAAATAACATTTATAAAAATAGAATTAAAAAATTATTTTTTATAATGCACGAATCTTAACGTTCAATATATCTATTATATTGCATTGCAAGCGAAATAACAATATAGTATTATCTAAATACTTTTTATTAAAGCTATTTTTTAATATTAATTTTAGCTTACCTGCATTTTTCTTTCGTTTAAACTTTCTTGAATCCATAAACTACGTTGAAATATTTATGTCATTGCATCATACATTGAATATTATATGTATATGTCTTTGTTTTAAATTAAATTAGTGTACTAATTTTTAGTATATTTGGATCACCGTCAAATGTCTTCAGCACTATGACATTTCAGTTTTTTTCTTATCCAGTGTTCTATTTCTGTCTTTTTTAATAATTTTTTTTTATTCCTTATTGTTTTTTTTAATTTCTTTTAAAAATCTTTATTTCCATTATTTTTATTTACTTTTTCTTTGCTATTTCAATTTTGTTTTCTTGTACTTCCCTTTTCTCCTATCTCACTGAAATCAACACTTTTTTATTTCTTCTTCCACTTTTTTTTCTTTTTCTATATTCATCAAACACGTTTTTCCTCATAAATTTTTAGATCTAAAGTTTCAATAAATTTCACTATAAATTTCTAATTATTTATATTTTTTAATTTGACTCATAGTTTGTGTAAACTAAGATATATAAAAATTTAATATTTTACAAGAAATAGTAATATAAATAATTATTAAATATTTTAAAAAATAATTATTTTGTAAAATGATTTGCACAATTAATTTTTTTATAAAAATATAGACAATTTTTTTTTAAAACAGATAAAAATATAATTTTTATATTCAATCTTAAGAAACGATTTTCATTATTTGGATGTGGATTATCGACAAGAAATAATATATGTCTAGTATTTTTTCATAAATTATCTTGTATAAAAATTTCACAAAGATCAATGATTGAATAATCGTTAACGAAAAAATATATAAATATTCTCATATGAAAGATATAATTATATTAAATTATATTAAAGTATTTCAAAATGAAAAAGAATTAAAAAGATATCATTTAAATTTCATTTTTTTAATTAAAAAAATAATCATATTTCGTTACATTTTTATATATCACTAAGTATAAAATTATTAGATTAAACAATAATTTTTCCACAAAATTTCGGATTTAATATTTTAATAAATAGCAATAATCAATAACCATCATTAAAATTACAAAATGTTTATAATATAATTTTTTAAGAACATTAAATTTTCTTTTTAAAGATATATAATCACATCTAATTGTATTAATTTAATCAAATTATTTTTTTCATTAATAATCAGACTTTATAATTATTATCTTAATTGCTCATTTCTTTTTAATTTTTTTTCCTTTTTTTTCCCCACTTCAATAACAATAATAGTAATAAAATATAAATTCTTTGCACAATACGATTGCACATACTATCTACTTTTAAAATGATCGTTGTCTTCTAAACATTGAAATATTGAATACATATGTATACTATTACATTAAATGTTATACATCACAATCACACAATCACTATTAACATACTTATAACCAAAATAATAATTATTACAACTTTTTCTAAACAAAAGGATTTTATTAAAATTTGAATTAAATAAATATTCTTTTTGTAATCTATTATTGGTCACTTTACATATATTTTTAAAAATATATTATAAAATTGATTTATTCTTTGATTCTTCTTTCTTAGATTACCTCAATATTAAAAATTGTATATATACAGGATGTCCCAGGAAAACTAATAATTTAACCAATATATTTAATATGTCATTCTGTATGAAAAAAGTTATTTTATTTTTTTATTCATTTTGACTTTGAATTGATTTAATAATAAAAAAATAAAATTGTAACTACAATAAAACAATATTTTATTATTTTTCTTGTATTTTATGACTTTTTAAATTTACATTCATACTTTAAACAAGATATTTAAAGTAATGGTTTTCCTTCCAAAAAGTTATATTATAACTTAATACAATATTATAATAAATATTATTATTATGCATTTTAATTTTAACTTTATTTTATAATTATAATAATATAATAAATGTTATTAGTACTTTTGAGAAATTTCCCTTTCATTTTTAATTGTATTTGATTACATATAATACATTAGACAATATACAACAAAAAGCTATAAAAATATTTTGCAAACGACTTACCTTGTATACATTAAGAAGAATAATTCCACCATGATGAAATATTATGATATTATAATTGTCATAATTTTTTTAAAAACCCATTTTGTAATAGAGGTGGATAAAGCAAAGGCATCTGTTATGGCCATCTGGATCACTGGATTTAAATTCCTTAAGTTTTTTTCTCTGTTATATGAAATTAAATCTCATACTTTCCTGGGACACTCTGTAGAGATAGAAAAAAGACACTCGGGATGAAAGAAAAGTAAAAGAAATAATCAATCACTTGTCTTATGGTTTTGAATCAATATTTACTTTCATGTATAATTAAATTCAAATTCCTTATTTCGAGTGCCTTTTATCTATCTATACTTAATATATACATAAAAGAAACAAAAAAGGAAAAAGATATTGTTTATTGACTGTCTTCTGTATTAAGTTTTTCATTACCTATTTCCTCCTTCAAGACAGCTTCGTTGAGACAAACGTTATTTAAACTAATTGCACTATTGGAAAAAATTGCTGTAGCTAAATTTGGATTTTTTATATCGGTACTTGTTGAAGAATGTTTCAAAGAAGTCATTTCATTATCAGGTTCCGTGGAATGTGATGAAATGAAATCACATGCCTTACCAAGAATTATCAAACTATTTAAAATCTTGAATGCCACTAATATTAGATATGCCAGAAGCAACAAAATTATATTGGCTGGTTTGGCAGACGGCGTGATAGTCGTGCAAAGTACTCTTCCCATTGCGACACCTAGCGGAAGAGGAATGAAACCCATCCTGCGGGCTACAAGATCCGAAGCATCAGAAAAGGCGGTCTCATCACGAGTTTGCGCCATATCATACGCTAAACTTATTGTATAATCCCTGTATACTGTTGAACGTAATTCGTTGAAACGAGTTATAAAGGCGTGCTTCACCTAAAAAGAAAGTAAGTAAATTGATAAAAATCAATAATATCGGAAGAAATATTTAACTAAAAAAAATCAATTAAAATCAATATTAGTCATTAATAATTGAACGAAAATTATTGCTTTTAATGATATAGTATAGTTGATCTCAAAAATATTTCTTCTAAAATTTTTTATTTAATTTTTACATATTAATTTTTACATATCATATTATAAAATAAAATAATAAATATGTATAATATTTTTCCAAAAAAAATAACAATCGTCTGAATCGAAAAAAGCATATAGTTATTTTTATTTCTTTATCCTGAAATATTAAATTTAAATATTTGCCTGTAAAATAAGAAATTCGAAAAGAAGTGGCAAGTCGTATAAGCGAGAAGTCATAAATCTTTACATCTATTCACAATCAAATATAACAAAGTGAGATGATACATTATTTTATTATTTTCTAAAAAATAATTGTACATTATTATTCGATCGATTATTATAATTTATAATTTGCCAATATTCCTTATTCATTCTTCCTTTCAAGGAAAAAAAAGAAAAAAAGAAAAACTGAAGATATCTAATTCGTAAAATGCAATAAGTCGATGTATCTCTTTCAGATATTTGGATTTCTGTAGTTGAAAATATAGACAATGCCGGTCATTATATTGCTAATTTAATTATTAGAAAAATAAAAAATGATATAGCAAAGCTTCAATTAGAAAGCTCGCTTATAAACAATAGTGTTCCGATAATAGATGAATGTTAATTATATATATATAATTATATTTATATATTATTAGAGGATTTATATATTATTTTATTTATATATTATATATTAATGGAGGAAGTTCAATACACTTTTGACAATTCAGGAGACTGCACTTATTTTTTAAAATATGTACTTTTCACAGAACATTGGTCATTTATTAATCTTTCGCTGAATATTATTTTAGTGTATTTCTGACAATTTAAGAGATTACTTTTAAAGATGTCTGTTTCACAAAATATGCATTTCTTTTGGAAATCGATTGACATTGGTTATTAGCCAAAGAATTTAGTAATAATACTTCAACAATTCAAGAGAATGCATTTAGTTACAATCTTCTTGTAAAATATGCATTTTTCCAGAAGAAAGACGATCATTATCCATCAGCTTTTCTTTAGAAATAGTGTGGCTTATAATAATATAAGAAATTGCACTTGAAGATTTTTTCTTTTTATTTCATGAAATTCGAATTTTTGTTATCAAGTATACATTCATCATGGACTTCGACATGGAAAGTGTCTTAGCGAAAGTTGTTATCTAAAGTCATAATATGTACTCTTGGTATACTTATCATCTTCATTAAATAAAGATAACAATTGGCAGTTTTTGACTAATCGTTTTTGATGACATTTTCTTTTTATTTTATTTATTTTTTCTTCTTCTTAAATTAATGAATATGATAATGATGTTTTAATTTTATATTATTATTTATTTGAACAATGTCATTTTCGCTTTAATTTTAAATCCTGTTATATTATCAAGAACATGCATATTATTATTATTATTACCAACACCTTAAATATGCTCCCAGAAAACGAGTCTAGCAATATGATTTGAGTTATAATCACAAAAAAAAATATAAATATTATATGTAATATAATATTGTACTATACATATAGTGTAGATATAAAATACATATTATAATTATTATTGTTATAATAATTTTTAACAAACAATGAGCGACAACTAAAATTTCTTGAAGATCATTAGATTACTAGATCACGCTCACCTAGAAGGATAATTTTAACAATATAGATCAAGGTCATCAAAAATAGATCCTTTCATATTTACCAAAATTGTTATATACAAAATCAGAAACTTAAACTCTATTATACATAATAAGAAATAGAAATCCATGAATCATGTTGAAATCATTGCAGTTTTTGAATTTTTATTGATTACTAATAAATTTAAGAAAAGTATAGAGAACTATTTTATCATTTATGAAAAAATATATATCATTTTCATAATCAATTTATTTAGCTGTGATGTTACGAGACTGATTCAAAGAAATTTTACGATTTATAATACGTTTTGATAACAATGACTATGAAAGAAAGAAAACTTATGGATAAATTAGTATTATTAAGATTCACGATAGATATTTTTATAGTAAATTGTGATCTTATGATGTCATAAATATAAATACAATTGATGAACATTTGATCAACAATTTCTGAAGATATCCATTCAGAATGTATATGTTGAATAAATTTGACAAATATAAAATTATAGACAATGCTATTATGTTTATAATCTAGATGTCCTAGTTCAAAAAAATAGAAATCTCTGTAGAAGAATTAAATATAATATATTAGGCAGTTGGCTGATTTCTGGAAACAATATGAATGATCAATTACAGTTTATCATTTTTAGTGATATAAGTTTAGTGAAAAGACTATTAAAAAATAAAATTTTTCTCATCACATCAAAATAAAAAAAAAATAAAAAACTAACGAAATCATTTATCAATATATGATCAAAATAATAGATTTCATTTGAATTCTTCTTACTTACATTGAATTCCAATATTTTTAGATCAGAAAATCATTCAAAAATTATAATATTTTATAATGCTATTAAAAGTAGATATTGTAGACAAGATAATTCGTAATTATTCTTAGAGAAAATGTATAAGATATTGGTCATTATCATTATGTATGTTTATGAATACAAAAATATTCTTTATGGAAAAATCATATATCCATAAAGGAAAAAAGAAAAATATTTTTAAAAAATTTAGAAATTGAATTCTATTCGGCAAATATCGAAAAATGTTTAAAAATAAGAAAATTGCATTTTATAAATATATTAAGATATAAAAGCAATTGAAATAACGAAAGAAGAAAAATTTTTATAACAAAAAATGAAAACTTTTTTCCCAATTTTTCCAAAAAATGATCTAAATATTATATCTGCATAAAAAATAATAATAAATATATACTAATACTAATATATACTATATAGTATTAATATAGTAATATACTATTAATATATAATACTATTTTCAATATATATGTAAATTATATATAATAAATGTATCAATATTATATACAAATTGTGAAAACAACTAAAAAAAATATAATAATAATATAATATAATATAATAAATAAAATAAAAAATATTTTATTTATTACGAACAATATATATTTTCTACTAATTATAAAAAAATATTTTTGCAATAAAAGTTTTTATAAATCAATATATACGTTGTTTTTTCAGATCCAATTCACATACAAAGAAATTTTATATTGAATCATATGATACAACTTCAACCAATTTCTGAAGCTAAAATTTATTTTAACCCAAACGAATTTTTGGCAAATATATGTATAAATACTGATATAGACTAGAGTGAATTTATGATATCCTGTATATGAAAATTTGATTTTAATAGTTTTTTTGCTTTCTTTCTTTGTTTCTAAGAAAACTTGCCTATATCTATTATATATATTGTCGCCAGATCATATCTCTAAAGATCTTTCGAGATATAGATTTCTGATGCCAATTCTTATATTTTCGATATTTGCTAATTATTTGCTAATTATAAATGTCATCTTTGATTTGAAAGATTTTTCCACATGTTGCTTCATACACAAGTGATCGATTCTTTGAAGTCATCTTTCTCCAAGAATCATTATATTCTGAATATACTTAAAGATATGGGTTTGTCACATTTTTGAAGTAAAATAGAAATTTTATTTTGAAGACGAAAAAAAGTCTTCCTTTTATGAATGATAAAATAACATGCAAATTAGGATTTCAAAAATAATTATATGAAGTTCAGAATTAGTCTATTCAGAATATCAGTTCTCATTCGATCCAAGTTTTATTATCATTGAATTTATACATTGAATTAATACTATATTTTCATCCTTGCATTTTCAGTATCATTCTTGAACCATACGATGAATTAACAGCAGTTTAAAAACAACTATAAAGTGAACTAGACATATCTTGAATTAACATCAGAATCAGATTTTCAATCAAAATTAATTATTTCTTATATTAATTCAATTGTATGGTGAAATATCACAATCATTTGAATCAATATCATAAAATCAGAAATCTCTTACTAATCAGTATTTTTTTTTTATTATCAATGATTTTTATATACAGGTGACACCTGAAACAATATTCAATAGCGCAGTGAATCATCACTGCAATCAGAATCACTAGAAATCTATAATCAGATTCAAATCTTTCCACATTAATGATTCTTTTTTTATGCAGATGGCGCCAATGCAGTATCCAAAAATACAATGAACTATTATCTTAACAAGAAATTACTAGAAATCTGTTATTAATCAGAATTAAATTTTTAATGGATAATTCTTCTCTTAAATAGATGACACTGATGCAGTATTCAAAAATACAATAAACCATTACCATGACCTCGACAAGAAATCATCAGAAATTTGTGATCTGACTTTGTGTCCGAATTAAATCTTTAGTGGATGATTCTTTTCTTAAACGGATGCAGTATTCAAAGGTAAAATGAATCATCGTGACCTTAACAAGAAATCACCATATGAGAATTCAAAATCAAAATCTTAAGCAGATAACACCAAATACAATATCCAAAGATATAATGAACCATTATCATGATTTTAACAAGTATAATATATTCTTTAGTAAAAAATGAAAGAAATTTTGAAAATCAATTAGAAATGACTATTTCTAAGCTAACAATTTATATGAAAACAGAAATAATATAAAGAAAAATCTAAAACTAAATTCTTCTATATATATATAAATGACACTATATATAATATAAATGAATCCAAAGAAGAAAATTTTCGCAAGTTGAAGATACAAAGGCAAAATTAAAATATTCTCGTCTAAATATTTTTTAATATTGAAAATATAATCTGAATGTATACATATCTTTTATATTGCATTTTCCACCAATAAATAATTATAATAAAATTTGGCAAATCAGATTCTCATTAATTATCATACAGTTGATAATTTCATTATTATACAGTTGTTCAACTTCAATATTATTTTGAATATAATAATAAAAAAAGTATTCTATTACATTAAATATTGTTCGTTGTAATTTCCTCTATTCATATCCTCCTATTTAATAGTAATCTTTAATAATAAAATTTTTAACAATAAATTTTTTTTATTCATATAAGAATATGAAAATGCACTATTATACGTAAGCACAATTATCTATATATTAATGTAATATAAAAACGAATTAAATACTTGTTAAATACTTGTTATATATTAGTTTAGTTGTTATATTTAGTTTATGAAATTAGTAATATAAAAAATTACATTAATAATATAAATCATTTTCTCATCTTAATAATGATTGAATGAATTTTGATTATTAACAAAATAAAATAAGAATTCATATATTGCAATAGATTAATGGAAGGAAATCTATGGCAATATTGGATTATGACAGCATATAAAATAAAATGGCTGACTATGACATAGAAGAACAAAAAACCAATATGATTTCTCATATGACTTCATTTAACAAATAGTAATCTATATTGTCTGCTCAATATCTAATTTTTTGATTTTAATATTTAGAAAAAAATTTTTTTATGAATTTCTGAAAATTTTAATATATAACATATTGTAACAATTTTTAGACAATCTTAGATAATTCTGTGATAAATAAATTTCATAGGAAAATTTCATAAATCAAAGGATGAAAATAGAATTGCATTTTCTTTTTAAATTAGTAAATCATGTTATTTTCAAAAAAATATTTATAAAAATTTTTCTTCGTATTCTATCATTTAAACTTTATAGTTTATATACAGGATTTTCTAACGAAAATAGATTATACAAAAAAATTAATATTCATAAAAATTTAATATTCATAAAAATATGTTTTGAAACGTTATTAAGTGTAAAAAGTATACTTAGAAATATTAGAAAAATTATTTTAAAACAGTTATAAAAAAGCAGTTTTAAAAAATTGTGGATATAATCATAAATCGCTAAAATTTTAGCAGATTAAAAAATCATTATTGAGAAACCAATAGAAATACTAAAATAAAATAGATATATTTGTGTAATGTCGAACGATCATTTTCTACATACAAGTTAATCTTTATTGGAAAACATCGAAAAAAATTATTTGTATTATCTAATATAAAAAAAATAATTAATATAGAAAAAAATTTATAGTTTATTATAATTTAAATTATAATCATAATAAAGTCATTTTTATCATCACATATTTTTAATAATAACAAACTTTTGAATTATCTTATTATTGCATATTGTTATTTTTATTATATATTATATATTATATATTATTATATATTATCTGTATATAATATCTGTATATATTCTGTATATAATAAAATGGAATTCCATTCTAAATACGTAATATTTCATTCATATATAAAATGTCTGATTATTCATCGAAAATTATTTCGTTTATATAAATATTTTTATAATATAATTATAAAACCTCATTAATATATTATATATATATATATATTATATAATATAATAATAATATATAATATATGTAATATATAATATAATATTATAATTATATAACCTCATTAATTGGATAAAAAGTTATAGCTGATGGAGAAATTAAATAGACTTCTATATGAATGATTTGATTATTTGAATATATTTGCCTCCTCAAAAGATCATATAAATGCATAAACATTTGTAATCTAAAAATGAATTTTATTTGAATCGTGCAAAAAAAAATTTCTTTCTAAAAAGGTATCGAGAAGAAAAAAATGTAAATCAGAAATTGGAAATATATATGTACAATAATATACTTTGAATAATTATTTTTAATAATCTCTTGTTATATGTATATAACATAATCTCATAATAAATTTTGAAAATTATTTAATTCTTAATTTTTTATAGAAATTCCTCTAATAAATAAATAATAAATAATTTCACATTCAGGAGATGAAAAAAGAATCGATGTTGAAAAAATAAATGAAGAATATTCGATATCTTCAACTTAAAAAAAATAAAAGAAAATATGAAAAGAATTGACAATTTTTTGTTAGATAAAAAAATGAGGAAAATGCAACCAGATATTTTTTGCAAATATTAAAATATCATTTGGATTTTAATTCATTCAAATTATTAAAAACAAAAATAAAAATTTCGATATTAAACATAATATTATTACATGTATATTTTATTCTTTTTCTATATTTCCTTACAATTTTTTTTTTTTTTTCAGCATATATTTCCTCTCTGGTTCTGTTATCTCGTCTCAATCGTAGAGAAATTTACACTTCCAAAGATTACAAAAAATACATGTAGCATCGAATATGAAATTATAATTTACCAAAAAATAAATATAATTTTTAAATTTGTAATATATTTTGATATAGTGAAAATAATATAAACAGCAGATTTATTATTTGTGTTTTATTTTTGGATAAAATAAAAGAAGTTGATATTTCTGAGAATTATAAATAAAAAATAATTTAAAGAATTATAAAAAAATCAATTGAAAACAAAATATATTTTGTAAATATTTTGTGTTATAGCAATTTATTTAAAAAATAGAAAAGTTTTTATCTAATATTGAATATTGAATACAAAAATGAAACTGATGGCAGAAAAATTCTTAATAGTTTTTGGTTTGCAAAAATTGAATAGAATAGAAGAAAACTTAGAAATAATAAAAAATGCAACAATAGAAGTCTAAATTAGACAAAAGAATTGAAAGAAATAATAACTAATGAAACAATAGAAATCTATGATAAGAAAATACAGATAATCTAATAAAAATCTATTCTATTTAAAAAAAGATAGAAGTTGACACAATCAAAACAATTATAAAGAAAAATATACAAATTGAAAATATCATTTTATTAATGAATTATAATTGATTGAGATACCATGGTAGATTTAAAAATAAATGGATGGAATGATTAACTGACATTAAAAATGAAAGATGGAAAAAAACTATAAATTGAGCATTTTAGAAAAAGTAATTTACACTACGAAAGTAAAGAGAAATACGGAAAATGATTAAATTAGCCAAAGAAATAGAAAAATAAAAAGAGATAATAATATTCTCAGATTCAAAAAAATATTAAACTATCTAGCACAGAGAGATTAATAAAATTAATAAAACAAGAAAAGAACTGGAACAAGAATAAAAATAAAAAAATAACAATCAAAACTTGACAAATGAAAGAAAACTAATTAAAAACATTAAAAATAAAAATAATCTGAATTTTAACTCATAAACGTAAAAACAAACGAAAGAGAGGATAAAATGGTAAAAAAACAGATAAATATAAATTATAAAATTCTGAAATTAAAAAATTATAATTTAGCAGAATTAAGATATAGAAAAAAATCTAAAATTCATATAAATGTGGAATAGAAATAAAAAATAATAAGCATCGTATAGAAATATGAAGAAACTTAAAGAAAAATATAATTGATCATGAAAAAAAATTAAAATAAAAATAGAAGATGAATAAAGGTTCGTTAGAAGGAACGATTCAAATGCTGTAAGAATCTTAACTTTTTTTCTAATAAATTCTAATAAGAATATATATATATATACTAAGAATATTTTGAAAAAAATGAGATACCCTTATCTATCAGTAGAGAAAATAATAATGAAAATTTATGAAGCTACATCGAATATCAATATCGAAATGTATTCACACAAATATTATTAGACATATAGAAACTTATATAGCAGAAGAAGATTATATTGAATCATATTTATTATAATATAATATAATAAAAATATAATAAAAACAGATCTTTTCAAAAATATCAATATTTTTAAAGAAATAATTTAAGATTCTTTTCTGGAATTATTGAATTATTAATATCAGCTGACCAAAGTTGATAATACTGCAATTAAATAAACGATATATATATTGATCCGATGATACATGTTATATGTGTTATTTCAATAATGTTTTATTTATAATTTATTTAATATTACGTGTAAAAAATTAATTCATTAGAAAAGAATATTCAAAAAACAATGACTTAGTGGTATATTTCAAAGCTTGAGTTGAATTTTTGTTGAGTGTTTTATCTATTTACTGGTGAATTATTTTTTAAATTAATAGATTGTAATGCATGATTTATTTTTTTTTATTTTAAATATGTAATATTAATCGTTCATTAAAAAAATTTTATATTACATCATAATTTTACCACAATAACAATTAATTAGTTTATTCATTATCATGTAATTCGATATAATTTTTTTATCAATAAAATAAATATTATATTCAACACATTTTCTTCGAGATATGTTACTTGAATTTGTTCGTGCACGGTAACCAAAATATTGCTTGAAATTATCTTAATTTACGGACATGTTCCAATATTTTTGAAGCATCCTATATCAAGTAATTAAACTTAAAAGTTTTATAATAAGAATGGAATAATATTTAGTCTGGATTCATAAAAAATTTAGTTCATTCCATGTTTAGAAAGTTAAAAGAAATCTTCAAATTTGGGAAGTATTTTAAATATATTAAAAAATACAAATTTTTCCTATTAAATAATCATTGCTTATGTTGATGGGAATAATAGATTTATAACAAGCAGATTGAGTATGCAGCATAAATAATTAATATGGTTAAATGAATATCATTAACTTTCAAAAATAGACATTAAAAAACTTACGAATTATCAAACAAAATCATTGATCATGGACAATTCTTTTTATTTTTATTTTATCAGAATATACTATATAATATAAATCGATCGATAAGGCTTAACTGATGATTCTTGAAGTGATTTAAAACAAATTTGTAAAAATTTTTATTAGTAAATTATTAACAAAGAATATTGGCCAATCGGAGTTGTCTTATCATAATGAGTTGGATATATACTGTCAATGAATCATTGAGATTAAACCAATAGTCAAAAACATTTGTTTTGCCATAGTATACACAACATTCATTAACAAAAATCAAAACGAACATTTTTATAAAGAAAGATATCATCTCAAAAATTGTATTAAGTCAAACTTATCAATCGATTTCTAAAATATCCTATATATATTAAAGATTAATATATTCGTGGAATAATTTTGGAGAATAGATTTAAATTCAAAATAAATATCAAAATTATACAAAATAACAAATTTGACTTCAATTAATCGTAAATTAATAAATAAATTTCAACATTTTTTTTAAGTTATATTTTTGAATATTTTTTCTATTCTAGAAATCAATCTTCGAAAATATCATACGAATATATTAATATAAGATAAATAAAACATCATCAAAATATACCAAAAAAATAAATAATGATAGAATAATTTGAAGATAAAGAATGATATTATGCGTTCAGAAATTATAAAAAAAATAGGAACTTTTACGATTGATAGATATTATATTAATTATATACATGTTTTTTAATAATATTATTAAAATCACATCGTTTTCATCAAAAATAAATTCGATTTGAATTCACTTCTGACACAGAACAATTCTTTCTAGTACAAGACACAAAATACAAGAAATTACGACAATTTACTTACCCAATCTACGAGGACTTCCGCCAAGAGCAACATTATGCAATCTGGCAATAGCACTGCAAGTCGTTCCGCTTTCCATGCGTATTCTTTCATTGTTTGCAGATTCACAGCAAGAAGAAGCATCATCAAATGAAAACGTTCTCTCACGTCTGCACAAGATAATTGAAATAGATTCTTCTTGTCAAATTTCTTAAAAACGGAACCTTTTAATTCTACGAACTGAAATAAAAAGTTTAGAACATTATTGTTATATTGTTTTTTTTCTAATCTCTTTCTGAGTTGCTTGAAAAGACTTTAAAACCTTTATTATATAATTATTTATTTTTACATATAAATTCTATTTTTCTTAAATTATATTTTTCTATTCTTTATTCGATTGTATAGCGATATATTAATATATAGCGATATAATTAAATGATAAACATATTATATAATATAAATTTTGCAAAATAATTATACAATAAAATATTTATGGAAATTGTTGTAATTTATTATTAATTATTGCTTTCACTTCCTATATATTAACAATAATATATCAATAAGAATTTTTTTTTAAATTTTAGATTAAGATAATTCTTAAAATTATATTAATTTAAATTAATTAAAGATTAATTAAAAGAAAATTTTGTTCGGAGATAAAATTTTTTTTCTATTACCATAATGATTTCAAATATCATTTTAATTAAAATGATATTACAATTCTCTTCTATTATGAATTATTTGTGTTATATTAGATTCTAATTTTTTACTTTTTTTCTATTATTTTTTATCAAACTAAAAAACTATTTTTTATTAAATTATAAAACTCAAAATACTTATTTTATTAAAAAGAACAGTTAGTAACATTATGTATTTTTTTATTTAAAATATATGTTTTAAATATCTAATAATTTAACACATATTTGATTATTAAATTTAATTTGCAGAGTGATTTTAAAAACGAATTTATTATTATTATAAATTTATATATGAATAGTTCAATTTTAATGAAATATTCTAATATTCAGAAATAGATAAAGTATTTTATTATTATATGTATCATCTAATACAATACAGATCTAATACAATAATTATTTAAATTTTATATATTTAATAATAAATATATTTAATAAAAAAATATTTTAACTTTCAATTTGATTCATATGTTATCAAAATAGAAAAAAAATAAAATTACACAACATACAACAAAATGATATTTTTTCATACTAATATAAAATATGGCTATTTATTAGAATAATAGCTATAAATATAGTTATTCATAAAAAAAATTATTATGAATACTTAATATTATTCTAATAAATAATAAATCGATAATTTTAGTATTATATGTGACTTTAATATTTATGTTAGAATTATTTAACCATAGATATACTTCTATATATCCTATAATATTTTTAATTTGACTAGCATAACAAAACAAATTTATAATTTCAATAACATTTTTTATTCAAGAAATATTATATATATTTTCCTCTTTTTGATACTTTTATTCTTTTTAAAAACACTTTGCAAAATATATAATCTATTATTAAATTAATAGTAAAAGAAAAACTTACATTATTAGACATCATTATAGTAAGTAGCGCCTTGTTGCTGCTGTTAATGGCAACATTCAAAGTCGTTGCTTGGAAAAGCACCAATATACTGTGTAATACTATGAAATATAGTATCGGAAAATATACCGTTAATTTTTTTTAAATGTAAAATACAACTTAAAATGATAAATAATAATCTTGGAAGATAACAATTTTAAAGATTAGAAAAAAAATTTAATATTGTGTTACTTAAATGTTCATATAATATATAAATATATTTGCTTTTTTATATTTAAATAAACGAATTTAAGTGTGAATAATTACTTTATTTCAATATATCATATACTAAATAATGAAATAAAATAATATATCTATATACAAAATGAAATAAAAATATATTTTTATTCTAATAATAGTAAAGTAAAATATATAATAAATATAACTAAAATATATAATAATATAATAACATAATTCACAGTCCATAATATTTACTGTATATAATTCAAACATTCTTGCATAACTGACGAATAAATGAAAAACATAAAATTATAATATGTATTAAATTATTGTAGTAATGTAATAAATTACTATTACATATAGATATATTAAAGTCGAATATCCAAAGACATGCTTTATAGATCAAATTATAATATGATTTATTCAACAATATCTTTATACTTTTTTTTATTCAACTTTTCTTCAATATGAAATAAAAAAAAAAGAAAAGAAAACAATAAATTTTTTCAAAATTATTATTATTATATATAACAAAATCAAACATAATCGAACATGATTATTGTTTTAAAAAATTGATGTATATGAAAGTAATATATGTAGTATAAAAATTGAGAAACTTTATAATATATTTATCGATTACTTAAAATATTAAATTGATCTAAAAGTTCTGTTGTTTTCATTTTTTTAAAGAAAATAAATCAATTATTGATTGAAAAATAAATAACTGGAAATATTTATTGCATTGGACAGTTCAAGAAGAAACTTAAATATATTTGTAAAATATGATATTCATTATATCTACGAAGAAACTGATTTTATCTTTAGATACTTAAACCAATCAACTATGAAAAGTTCGAAAAAAATACTGATTGCTTTCAATCAATTGTTATTTTAATAAATGATGAGGACAAAATTGTTTATTTATAGTTGGTACATATGATATATACTGATTTGAATATGAAACCAATAACTTAACGGAAACAACCGAACAAAGATCGATTTCGCGCAATCGCAATAGTATCGTCGATACAATGTGCTTTATCAATTTTCATTATAGCAACAAGCTGAGATTTTTTTTTTCCAATTTGTCAAGATTAATTAAATTAAATCCTCTTTTTCGCACATACTTTCCTTCATACATGTTATTTCTGTTTATTACTGTTATTATTTTTAATATTTTCTATCGCTTTATTAATGTAATTATAAAACTATTAATTTTTTTTGACAGCATATTTAATTATTGATTATTTTGCAGAATCTATAATCTTGTTAAATTGTCAAAAAAAGAGTAAAAGAAATTTGTTAAAAAATATTTAAAGTTTTTTTATTAATTAAATAATTCAAAAATTTACATCAACCAATAATTGTTTATATAAAATATAATAAGATTTCTTGAAAAAAATCATTTCTGAAGATTATTTTCAATATCATTTAGATATGAAACTTTAAAATTAAATTTGCAAAAAATATAGTTTACAGATTTTGGCAATATTATCGAAGATAAAAATTTGAAAGAACTAAGTAAGATCAAGAAGTTATAATCGCAACAATTAGAAAAAATTCTTCAGTCATTGAGAAAATTTTACAATTTTTACAATTACAATTACAATTTTTCAAAATGAAAAACTGAAGAAATTCCATAAATAATGAATTTACTATTATATTTAATATAATTTACTGTATAGTAATGCAAAAATCCATCCAGCTATTCAAATGACTGTTATCTTTGTTTAATTAATATCACTGAATATAACAAAAGATATAAGAAGAAAATTACAATGACTAGATATGTCATCTGTTATATGATCTAAAATATGAAAGGCGCATATCATCTCTAAATAATGCAAATAATGATTAAATATAATAGAAAGTATATCTGAGTAAAAAGTAAACAAGTTCAGAGAAATTTATTGAAAATTTATTTATTTATTCAACAAAAATCAAATAGTTTAAAAATTTTTATTTAACCTAAAATAAAATAGAAATTCTAATCATAACAGTAAAATTTATTGAACAATTTATTATTGAAACAAAACACGAGAACTTCACATTTTTGAAAATGAAGTAAAAAAATTGCAAAAATATTTTTTAATAAAGAATTATCCTAACATAATTTCTTTATACGAAAATTTAGAATTTTAATCAAGAATGAAAATTATTCATCAAATCATCGAAAAAAAAATTAAAAATAATATTGAATTCAATAAAAATTTCAAAACTGATCTATATGTGCAAATTTAAAAATAATTCTTCGAGATTACATTAAATATTTTTTTTTTTTTTGAGAATTTGTAAAAGAAAAAACAACATATTATAAAAGTTAAAATATAGTTAGCAAAATTTCATTAGAAACAAGACAATATATATTTTATACATTTATATTTATATTTTCAAGTTTATATAAAATTAGATCTTATGTTTTTTCCTGGAGTTAAAAATCTTGTTAAAATCATATTTATATTTTCATCATTATCTGTTCAATCAAAAATAAATTCTCATCAATTATCATACTATCAATATTACTCAACTCTAGTATTATTTTATAAATATAATACAATGGAATTTCTATATTCGTTATCTAATATTTATCATCAAAAATTGCATGATTCACTTTTTTGCTATCATGATAAATTTTCAATAAAAATTAAATTTCTGTTTATAATTTTATTTATTTAAGTTCCGATTTAAAGTTTAAAATCTATTATTCCTTTTTTTGTTAATATTTCATAAATTCTTATTATTAAAAAAAAATTGATTATGTATTTGTCTAATTTAATATTTCTCTTTAGAAATAAATTATTGACGAATATAGAGATTTCATTGTATTTTGTAATTTTGAATATCATTCGTTATAATTTCCTTTACTTATATTCCTTCATACATTTGAGATATAAGAATGTATGTTATAATTACTTAACTGAAACTATGCATATATATCAATATTAAATTATGCCATCATGCAACAAAATAGACAATGACAACATGACAATGACATAAAAAATATGATATTATGTTTTATCATAATTTTATATATCGAGTATAGACCATAACACAATAGTCTAGAAAACAATATGAACAATATTCAATTTTTCAATTTTAATATTGTGAAATATTGTAAAATCTTTAAACAAAAAAAAATTTTTGAATTATATTATATAAAAATATATATATTATTAATTATTATATATTATTAATGTTTCAAAATAGAAATTCTTTACAAGTCAATATGTCTTGTATTGGATTAGAAATACAATCACGGAATTCAGAATAAGAACATTTTTTTAATTAAGACATCAGAGAATATATTCCAATGTTATATTAAGAAAGACATAAGAAATACATTAACATTATGTTTTTTAATATAAATATAAAACGACAATAGACTCACAATCTATATAAGAATAGATATTCTAATTGAAAATAATTAAATAAATGATGAATTTATATACATGGCAAAAATGTCCAGCCACATGAGATTACTAGAACGCCATTGATTAAAATGATATTAGCAAGCAATCGACATCACGAAAATCTTTAATCTAATTTTATTTTATCAGATTATACAAGATTATATAGATTTACAAGATTATATAAAAAATAATGCAATAAATATTTCCAATGTTATAATTTCTACAGTTATTATATTTCTATACAATTTATATTTTTATATTAAAAGACTTAGAAAATAAAAAACTTATGACAAAAACTAAATTAAAATATACTTTAAAAATGTATTTAAAGCAAACAAGCAAAAACAATAAAATTTTACTATATATTATTTGATATATACAATTTAAAAAGCAATTTATTAATAAATTCCTTTATAATCGATGGAAACGATATAATGAAATATAAATTGAGATATTAAATGATGATACTGATTTATATAATCATATGTACATATGTATATAATCAGAGTTACTAAGAAATCCTTCATTTTGCAACGTAACGTATCATTATACATAATATCATTCGCTTTAATCACAATCCTTACAACAATCCTTACAAATATTTTACTTTTCAAAAAATAATTTTCTCCCATTTCCTAACCATGATTAAGACGAAATAATTTATATATATGGATTATTTTGTTTTAATATATTCAAATTATGCCTTATTTTGTTTTAATATATTCAAATTATACATATATATATATATATAATATATATAATATATTTATATTATATATATTATATATTTGTGAGATTTTTATTCATAAAGAATATGACACGTCTGTAAGGAAGATTTCTTCTACTCAATAGACAGAGATGCATTATAAGTTCAGTAATTTATTTGAAAACAAGTATAATTGATTTATGTATGAGTTTTTTCCAGATCGAAGATCTAAAGAAATGATGTAATTTTTGGAAAAAAAATCCAAATCTTATTTTTAACATGATTTTCGATAAAAATAGGATATAGTTATACGTATATTTAAATAATAATTAATATATTTATTTAATGAACTCTTATTGTAAATGCATTATTAAATTGGAAAATGTTTCACTTTTAAAAAATGAAAAGCAATTAAATCATCATTAATTGTAGCAATAATTAAAAATAGAAGATATGAAAATAGAAAATAAAGACGCCATATATGATCAATTTAAAAAAAATAATAAAAATAAAATACCCAAAATACATATGATTTTCAAGCATTTTGCTTACGAATTGAAAAAAATTTAACAGTTAATAAGAATTTGCAAAATTAGATTTATTGAAATTTTATTTATTTATTGGCTTTACTTTCACAGATAGATTGAAAAAAACATCGAAAAATCATTTGTAATTATTCAATACTAATACTAATTATTTACACTTTTCTATATAAATATATTATTTCTATTTAAATTATTATATTATTATATATTGTTATATTATTATTAACATTATTATTAATATTATATATTAACATTATTATGTGAAATTTTGTATTTAGAATTTATTTTTCAAATATTATGACATTTATAACTTCTTAAAATATATTCTTGAAAGAAATAACTGTTTTAAATTGATATCATTCGATCTTGATGAATGAATGAACAAAATTCATTCATTTTTATTAATTCTTATTTTCCTTAAAATATTTCAATTTATATTTTAGTGTTCAAACATGTAAACTTTAACTGATTTTACAATTTCATTACATAGCTTCCATCGACAATATACTAAAACAATTTTTTCACGATGAATGCAAGCAAAATTTGTAAAAATTCATAAAAATTAAATTAAAACATTGAATATAATAAGCATTGGATAAGTAATAAACAAATCATTCTACTTATTATTATACTATTTATTATTATAAAGTATTAAAATTAAAAAAATTTAATTCTAATGGCTAAATCAAAATTCGGATTTCTTTTTAATAAAACTAAAAATAATAATAAACTAATAAAAATATATATAAATATATTGATAAATGAACTGTATATATTTAATTCATAAAAAATTTGAATTTATATGGTATATAAAAAAAAATATTCAAAATATCAATATTCGTTATAATATTTAATATTTAATAAATAATAAATAATATTTAATATAAAAAAATAATAAATATTATAATATAAATTAAAATAAATTCTTTATTTAAATTGTTGAGTTTTTAATAAAAATTTAAATTAACATATATATCCGCAATTTATGAATTTTACAGTGACAAAAAGAATCTCTCAATGCTAGAGATAATTACTGAGCATTTATTATTTACGAATTTATCCAATGTTGTCCTCAATTATTCAGCTTAATGATATCAATATTTAACAAAGAAAGTATATTAATATTCTTAAAGTTAATAAATAAAGTAATATTCTTAAAATTCCTAAAATTCTTAAATCATTTGGACATTCGATTTTCTCAATAAATAATTGCCAAATATTGAAACAATACTTATTTATATTTTATACAGAAATATGATAAAAATGAGCCAATGCTCATTTGGCCTAAAGACTTTTCGAAATATAATTCGAAATAAGAGCACAGAATTATCTTTTCTATATCCAATATTTATGAATAGAAAGGATACAAACATAAGCAACAGCAAACAATAGATGAGGTAGAGTGCCCAAATGTTGAGATGTTTGTGTTTGCGTTTTTGATCTAGGCTCCGTAGCTGTCCATAGAAGGGCATCTATCGTATCTTGGCCAAAAGCGCTGAATAATCTATCACCGACTTCCAGCATATTATAAAATATATACAATTTTATTACTGATTGACTTTTCACCAAATGGTACATCATAGAGGTGTCAACCTTCCATGTAGCTGCCCAACAGCTGATCACCACAATTCCCTTTAAAAGATCGCAAATCTCTGCTGGTTTTAGATGCCGTTCTCCAACTTTTAAATTACTCCTTTCCTTTCTAGATCATAAATATATTTTATACATAATAAAATATAACGTAGTAAAAGTTTAATTAGATATGAACGTTTAATAACATTATGATAATTTTCAACTTCTTTTATCATTCATCATTTGTATAAACATGTTTTATTTAAAACTATTTTTTATTAAAAAATCATTAGGATTAGATTAGGCTGTGAATCATGAACATTGAGTTATCTTAATAAGTTATATAATTTAACAATTAAATTATGTTCTCTAAATGATACATATAAATATTTATTTTTACACTAATTTTCTTGTTCTTTTTATTTTATTTAAAATGATTAAAGAATATATAAGAAAACAGATATAGTTCATCTGCAAATATATAATATATAAATAATACTATAATGCATATAATTATATTGAATAAAATATTTTCAATTTTTTACTCGATTGATTTTATAATCTTATTATAAATACTTTGTCTAATATTACAAAATATAACTTATATACAGAAAATAGCATAGAGAGACACAATGTATTAATGTATGTTTATAATCACAATTGTTCAGATAAAATTCTTCTGATAAAAATATATTTTGAATAAAATTATTCGATTAAATAAAAAATTTTTAAAAATTATTAAAAATTTGTAAAAAATAATTTTCAATAAAAATATATAATAATTGTATTTTAATATAGCTTAATTAATACAAATTCGGTAAAAAAAATAATTAAAATATAAAATAAAATTTTCTACTTTATCTTTCCGTTTTTTTTTTATATTTATTTATTTTATGAAAATTTATTCATCTAAATCTTGAGATCATCTTTTATGCATTATAAAATTGTATGAAAAAAGAAAGGAATCATCTTTTGCTATTAGGCTGATTGCTAAATTCTGTTATTATTAATCGATATTTTTATATACTAATTTTATAACATATATGTATATAATAGTGTTATTTATATCACATAATGTCTAAATTCAATTAAGATATATTATAAATTATTTCTTATTTCTAACAATTCTTTTTTTTTTATGTTTTTTCATTAAAGTTTTGAAATTATTGAAAGCTATCTTCATTTTTGATGAATCTTTTCTATAAAATTTTTGATATTAAATCAATTACCATCTTTCTTTTCAAGATTTTCTCGCCTTACATTTATTGCGTATTATTTATTACAGAACAATTCAAAAAATATATCAGAATAATTAAAAAAATGTTCAATATCATTTAGCAAATAATCGCAATTTCAACAGTAATCCAAAGATTTTTCTATTTTTATTAACACAATGATTCATAAAATAATTCACAGTACAATAATTCACAGTGATATACATTTAACACACTTTCATAAAAGTCTTAGATTCTAGAATTATGATTTTTCGATAAAAAATCCATTTTATTTCGTTATTTTCCAACTATTCGATAAAAAATTTAAATTCTTAAATTTTTCTTTAAATTCTTCTGTTTTAAATTCTTATTTCACTCATAGCTCTCACAAATGAGTAAAAAAATTGAATCATATTCTAGTATGTATTATTTTTCTTTTCTCAAAGTATAATTTATTTTGGCCTTAAATAGATAGACTTTATCAAATATACATAATATCTTTTTAAATTCGATATACTACTACTATTGGAATCTCTTATTTATAAAATCCATTATTTCATATTCAATCTTCTAGATTTATATAATTTTTATTCATTTCAAATATATCAGTTTAAATAACCATATAAGGTAATAGATATTCTACATTTTTTGGATTTTATATACTAAGATATTTTTGAAGATGCTGTTATTAATTCATTAGTTTTTTTTACAGATTTCTTTTCAATATCTGAACTTCAATTTTTTTAAATTATTAAAATCTATTTTGAAAAAGATTTTATTTGTTATTGTCTTCATCTTCAATTTAGATAATTTTTTCGTTATGAAAAATCCAATCTCCGTTTTTTCTGCTGTAGATATATTTTTCATTAATAATTTAAGATTTCAATCATTTGATCATCTAAGAACTTTGTGATCAAATAAAAATATAGGATTTTAATAATATATATATACATGTACCAATATATCAAATTCTATGAAAAGAAGTTATCAAATTTTGTAGTATACACAATTTAATAATAGATGATTTATTAGATTACATAATTTTCGATTAGTCTATATAATTCGATAGAAATTTATTCTAATTATGTAATTTAGACTTGAAGTTTTTCCCATAATAAAATAATAAATATATATACAATATTAATAATTATAGATCTTCTATTTAATTTTACTCAATTATTCTTTGTAAAAAACACAAAAAGTTTTTGCTGATAGATATAGAAAGATACGTTTTTCTTTGTTTTCTTTTTCTTCTTTCTCTTATTTTCCCAAGAAAAAAATTTAATTTTTTATTGTTCTCTTTTATTTTTCTTATATTTTAGAAATATGATTTGTATTTTTTTTTTTTTTATAAAACTCTTTCTTTTACAATTTTTATATCTGTTTAATCTGTATTTTTTAATTCAATATATTTTTTTTTTTAATGCGTTCAATTCCAAATTCTTTTCAGGATATTTATTATCTTATAGAAAATATAATTTATAAAATTGTTGTCTTTAACTGTATAAAATTTCTCATATTTTGAATCCTTTGCAATAATGCATACATTTCAGAAAAATTTTATTTATATTATTATTTTTATTATCTCTGATGATGTTAAATCGATTCTCACGATTTATCAGATTTCAGTTTTATAAATTATATGACTTGAGATATTTTTCTTTTTTTTTTTATCATCATTTCTTTACCAAATCATAATTTCTTTTTTTTCTTCAATCCATTATCGAATGTCTTCGTTATAATTAATTTCATATAAATATGTAATCATATCATCTCCATAGGTTTTGTCTTCTTTTAAAATTAATTCTTATAATAACAATTTCACAATTATTGTAACGCAAAAATCTTGAGAATATCTCTTCTTACTTTAAATGATTGACATTTTTTTAATGCCTTACATTTTATCTTAATCATCAAGACCATTTTTTCATCTTATTCTTTGTATTTTTTCTTTTCTATAAGTTTAATAATTTTTTTTTTTAAATAAATTTTTTTAAATAAATTTTTCTTTAAAAGAATTTTATCACATCTGCTACTAATCGATGAAAGAATTCTGAATTTTCTTATTTTTATTTAATCAATAATTAAGCGTTTCTTCCTTTTTTTTTTTTTGCATATAATTTTCTCGTGAAATCTTATAGAATATAAATCTTATATAAATACAGAATATATAAATAATCGAATTATTATATATATATATATATATATATATATGAATATATATATATAAATATATGAATATATATATATAAATATATGAATATACGACTCCAATTTATAATAGATAGATTTAATGTCACTTCTAATAAATATACATAATTTTTTTGTTATAAAAATTGTACATATCCATCATTAAACGATAAATTTCGAGCTTTGATTGTGAATAGTGGTTTTTTTTTAAATGATGGTTATCATTTCATGCAGACTTCGTTAAAATTTATATTCAACGCAGTCCATCTTTAAATAAATTTTCTTGAATCGATAGAATTTAAAATATAATAAGTTTGAACATGATCCTTGCCATGCAAATGAATATTTTTTCCATATTTTTTCACTAATTTAATATTCACTCGTTTTTACTCGTTTGAATTCTTAGTATCCATATTTTTGTCCAAAGTTGTCTTATCCATAAGTTGTCTTATAAATTTCCTCGTTGATTTGCTCTCTAATAGTTAATATGACTTATATTTTTTATTTTTAAAAATACTTTATTTTAAAGCAGTATTTTTCAATTTATTTTAGATCATGCCGTTCGTTTCAAAACTTTTTATTATAATCTTCATAGTTAAAATATTATTATTATTTAATATTTTTATTTTAAGATCATGTATATTATAATATTTATCTTCGAAATAAAATTAGATGGTCTTATGTATTAGATGTACTTTGTAAAAATATATAATTAAATCTTTATTTTTTCTAACAAAGATATAATTAAAAAAATTATAATTACAATTTTCAATTTTTATTATATGTTTCAAAATTATAAATAAAATATTATGTCTAATGAGAAGAATGTAACTTTAAGTATTTTTCATTATCTCCAAAATATTTAGTTTGCTTTCCTATGGAGTAAATCTTATGTTAAAAAACATTGCTTTAAAAAAATCTTACTTTATATGATTGATTATTGAAGATAACTTTTTAAATACTTTAATAAATTTGTTTTTACATATTGTTAAATAAAAATTATACAAAATATATCTTATATATCATATTTTGAATGAATATTAAAGAAAAAAATCAGAAATAGAGATAGCTTCTATATGACATTTATATTAAAGAATGTTTTACTAATGAAAATTACACAGAAATAAAAAATGAATTTCTAAATATAATATTTCTAAATAAATTGATGAAAGATAATTATATGGAAACTAATTATTGATAGAAAAATAGATCATAAATAACACTATTATATTATAAACTAATGAATAAAAATTTCAGTCACTAATTTTATAATTTTAATTTTATATCATGAATAATTGATTTATCTTAGGAGAGAAAAAAATTTTTCAATCAATCTAATATCTTATTTAACTTATTTTAATAAAATTAATTTATTCTTTTATAAAAAATTAAAGAGCAATGAAAACAAATTATGTAAAGGATTTTAAAATATTAAATGACAGAATTATAAGATATGTTCTATTTTAAACTACATACTATACTTACGTATGATTGCCTTGACGCAAAGATGAAATCATCTAAGTAACGTCACATATGCAAAGTAAGTTTTTATTATCAAAATAATGTATAAATATTTATAAAAATATAATTTAATCATTGTTAAGTCTGAAATATATATTTTATTTTATTTTATTATCCGTTAATTTTTACATTGCCTCTATATATAATTTTAAATAATAATTTTAATAATAATTTCAATGTCTATTCATATTTTGTAAATTATAAT